TTCAGGCTGTGATGCTGAATTTCTTGTCTAGATCAAAATGTAGTCTATAGCTGGAATCACCCATTCTTGGAAGTTTGTCTTCCACTAAATACACGTGCTCATTGCCTATCCGATGCGAATATACAAGAATTCTCTGCTTATTCTCTACTTAAGAGAATTGGACTAAAAGATTTCCTTAATTTCTCCATTACGTAGTATATACCTAAGAACTTACATATATTATTTACAACATGAGCGGCCATGTTGTGTCGGATATACAAACTCTGGTCTTCGGCTCGATACAACATGGACGCGAATGAGAACGTTCGTTCATTCGTATACGAATAATATTTGGAGAGAAAATTGTACTTAAAGTTTATGTAAATCAGCATGATTTCTGTATCAGATATATAGAAACTCCTTCACGCTCATGCTTTCTTTTGTGTTTTCTTCATGGATTATTAATGAGTTTCACAAATATTTTTACTAAATAACATTTTAAATATGTTTAGCTCAACACCACCAGAGCAATTTTCCCAGTGCAGCATAGATGATCTTCAGACTTTACTTTTGAATAATGTTGGGCATTGTCTCTTCAACCAACCAACAAAGGTATATTGTAAAATATTCTCTATCCAGTTTCCGTACAGGTTTAACAAAAGAAACAAATGATATATATATATATATATATATATATATATATATATATATATATATATATATATATATATATATATATATATATATATATATATATATATATATATATATATATATATATATATATATATCACATACTTGTACCTTTATCAGGTAGGAAGCAGCGGGACATAAAAACGATATCGTCCCGGATATCGTTTTTTGTCCCGGATATCGTTTTTTTTCCCGGATATCGTTTTTTGTCCCGCTAAATTTCGCGCGTTGTCAAAACAAAGATGGCCGACTCGAGGTTCGTGTTGGTTGATGTCGACAGTTTATCGAAGAAAACACAACGATAATACAAAATGAAAGATTTAAATTGTATATTATTTATTTGAATGGTCTATTTATTTTCTAAAATCATATTTGTTCAGTAAATGATGAATTGTTTTGAATTCTAAAATGATCCTATTTTTTCAAAACTCTTTACTTTTGGGTGTCAAACCCTGATAAAGGTACAAGTATATAATAAATAGGTTATCGTACTCGGGATTCGGTGATATCAGTTTTATCGCTCTCGTGACGATATCACAATTGTCCCTCGCTCGCTGCGCTCGCTCGTGACAATTGTGATATCATCCCTCGAGCGATAAAACTGATATCACCTTATCCCTTATATGATAACCTATATATACGTACACTTTTATAACCAGGAACAGTTGCGATAAATGGAGAAAAAACCTTTCAAGTTGACCTTCACTTCATAACGTGCACACCCGACATATATATACAAGAACCAATTGTTCACTCTCGTCCGGAATCCAAGGGCAGTATACAGGTTCAATTCCTGCCAGAGCCGAACATAGTGCTGCCGTTTCTAGTTAGGTGTAAAAATTGGGCACATACAGTAGATGCTGTGTTAGATTATCCACCAAACTCAGCATTCTAGTTCAACCAAGTGAAGTGCAAAACACATCTTTTAGGATGACAATTTTTTAATTGTGTGTGTTTATATTATGTACTCAGGTGAATATGATGTTTGTGATGTTATTCTGAGTGTGCATCCACACCGGGCAAGCTGAAAAGTTTGCCTGACCACGGTGGGAATCGAACCCGCGACCTTTGGGATACTAGCCCAATGCTCTCTAATTATATCACCAACTCGAACCGACTTGACCTCGTAGCTCAGTTTGTAGAGCATTGGACTAGTATCCCAAAAGTCGCGGGTTCGACTGATGTGCTAAGTGAAACCTACCTTACTACGTTTAACTGAGGTTTGTTTACGGGAAATCTTGCGAGTTTTAAATATTCTTTTTTATCCCAGCTGGCAACAGACCCAGCCTGTGGCAATGGTTTCGTGGAGAATGGAGAGGAGTGTGACTGTGGTACACAAGAGGTAACTAAAAAAATTCCTAGCTATGTTTACTAGCCATGTTTCCTTGCTATATTTCCTACTGTAGGTATGTTTCCTAGCTATGTTTCCTAGCCATATTTCCTAGCCATATTTTCTAGCCATGTTTCATAGGTATGTTTCCTAGCCATGTTTCCTGGCTACTGTATGTTTTCAAGCTATGTTTCCTAGCTATGTTTCCTAGCTATGTTTCCTAGCTATGTTTCCTAGCTATGTTTCCTAGCTATGTTTCCTAGCTATGTTTCCTAGCTATGTTTCCTAGCTATGTTTCCTAGCTATGTTTCCTAGCTATGTTTCCTAGGTATGTTTCCTAGCTATGTTTCCTAGCTATGTTTCCTAGCTGTGTTTCCTAGCCATACATGCTTCCTATCCATGTTTCCTAGCCATGCTCCCTAGCCATGTTTTCTAGCTATGTCTCCTAGCTATGTTTCCTAGCTATGTTTCCTAGCTATGTTTCCTAGCTATGTTTCCTAGCTATGTTTCCTAGCTATGTTTCCTAGCTATGTTTCCTAGCTATGTTTCCTAGGTATGTTTCCTAGCTATGTTTCCTAGCTATGTTTCCTAGCTGTGTTTCCTAGCCATACATGCTTCCTATCCATGTTTCCTAGCCATGTTCCCTAGCCATGTTTTCTAGCTATGTCTCCTAGCTATGTTTCCTAACCTTGTTTCCTAACCATGTTTCCTAGTCATGTTTCCTAACTATGTTTCCTAACCATGTTTCCTAGCCATGTTTCCTAACTATGTTTCCTAACCATGTTTCCTAGCCATGTTTCCTAGCCATGTTTCCTAACCATGTTTCCTAGCCATGTTTCCTAACTATGTTTCCTAGCCATGTTTCCTAACTATGTTTCCTAACCATGTTTCCTAGCTATGTTTCCTAGTCATGTTTTCTAACTATGTTTCCTAGCCATGTTTCCTAGCCATGTTTTATAGCCATGTTTCCTAGCTATGTTTCCTAGCCATGTCTCCTAACCATGTTTCCTAGCCATGTTTCCTAACTATGTTTCCTAGCCATGTTTCCTAACTATGTTTCCTAACCATGTTTCCTAGCTATGTTTCCTAGTCATGTTTTCTAACTATGTTTCCTAGCCATGTTTCCTAGCCATGTTTTATAGCCATGTTTCCTAGCTATGTTTCCTAGCCATGTCTCCTAACCATGTTTCCTAGCCATGTTTCCTAACTATGTTTCCTAGCCATGTTTCCTAACTATGTTTCCTAACCATGTTTCCTAGCTATGTTTCCTAGTCATGTTTTCTAACTATGTTTCCTAGCCATGTTTCCTAGCCATGTTTTATAGCCATGTTTCCTAGCTATGTTTCCTAGCCATGTCTCCTATAGCGATGTTTCCTAGCCATGTTTTCTAGCCATGTCTCCTATAGCCATGTTCCCTAGCCATGTCTTATAGCCATGTTTCCTATCTATGTTTCCTAGCTATGTTTCCTAGCTATGTTTCCTAGCCATGTCTCCTATAGCGATGTTTCCTAGCCATGTTTTCTAGCTATGTTTCCTAGTCATGTTTTCTAACTATGTTTCCTAGCCATGTTTCCTAGCCATGTTTCCTAGCAATGTTTCCTAGCCATGTTTCCTAGCCATGTTTCCTAGCCATGTTTCCTAGCCATGTTTTCTAGCTATGTCTCCTAACTATGTTTCCTAACCATGTTTCCTAGTCATGTTTCCTAGTCATGTTTTCTAGCTATGTCTCCTAACTATGTTTCCTAACCATGTTTCCTAGCCATGTTTCCTAGCCATGTTTTCTAGCTATGTCTCCTAACCATGTTTCTTAACCATGTTTCCTAGCTATGTTTCCTAGTCATGTTTCCTAACTATGTTTCCTAGCCATGTTTCCTAGCCATGTTTCCTAGCCATGTTTCCTCGCTATGTTTCCTAGCCATGCTTTTTAGCTGTACGTCTCCTAGCTATGAACTTCCGTCTTTCCTAGCTATGAACTTCCGTCTGTCCTAGCTATGTTTCCTAGCCATGTTTCCTAGCCATATTTCCTAGCCATGTTTTCTAGCCATGTTTCCTAGGTATGTTTCCAAGCCATGTTTCCTGGCTACTGTATGTTTTCCAGCTATGTTTCCTAGCTATATATGTTTCCTAGCCATATTTCCTAGCCATGCATGCTTCCTATCCATGTTTCCTAGCCATGTTTCCAAGCTATGTACCTAGCTATGTCTCCTAGCTAGCTATGTCTCCTAGCTATGTTTCCTAGCCATATTTAATTTCCTAGCCATATTTAATTTCCCAGCCATGCATGCTTCCTAGCCATGTTCCCTAGCCATGTTTTCCAGCTATGTTTCCTAGCTATGTTTCCTAGCCATGTCTCCTATAGCCATGTTCCCTAGCCATGTTTTATAGCCATGTTTCCTATCTATGTTTCCTAGCCATGTCTCCTATAGCCATGTTTTATAGCCATGTTTCCTAGCTATGTTTTCTAGCCATGTTTCCTAGCCATGTTTCCTAGCTATGTTTCCTAGCCATGTTTTATAGCCATGTTTCCTAGCTATGTTTCCTAGCCATGTCTCCTATAGCCATGTCTCCTAGCCATGTTTTATAGCCATGTTTCCTAGCTATGTTTCCTAGCCATGTCTCCTATAGCCATGTCTCCTAGCCATGTTTTATAGCCATGTTTCCTAGCTATGTTTCCTAGCCATGTTTCCTAGCTATGTTTTCCTAGCCATATTTTATAGCCATGTTTCCTAGCTATGTTTCCTAGCCGTCTCCTATAGCCATGTTTCCTAGCCATGTTTTATAGCCATGTTTCCTAGCTATGTTTCCTAGCCATGTCTCCTATAGCGATGTTTCCTAGCCATGTTTTCTAGCCATGTCTCCTATAGCCATGTTCCCTAGCCATGTTTTATAGCCATGTTTCCTATCTATGTTTCCTAGCTATGTTTCCTAGCTATGTTTCCTAGCCATGTATCCTATAGCGATGTTTCCTAGCCATGTTTTCTAGCCATGTCTCCTATAGGCTTGTTTACTTGCTATGTTTCCTAACTATGTTTCCTAGCTATGTTTCC